CTTATTAGTATTCAAGGTAATTTATTCAATTATTTTTACACAGTTACAGAGAATTCATAGAAAAATTAAGACCATTACCATATTTTTTGCTGGGTTGTACCATTTTATCAGGCTGGGGGGTGCTCTACATTGGCCTCAAGGATGCCAGAAAGTGCAGAATGGACTATGTTGCCGATAGGAAGGCCGCATTGTTGGTTGCTTCTGATTGGTTGAGTAGCTGGGTAGTTGATTGACGATTGGTTGATAGGAATAGCTGATTGATCTGAACGAATAAATGATAATTTTTTAGTCAGTTGATTGATTTATCATGTTTTAAATTCGAGAATGTTATAGTTCATTTTTCATTTTATTATTTTCTCGAACGTTGACCTAAAAAAACAAAAACTTCTTTTCCTAACTCAATCAAACCAGATTAGGTAGGGAGCTGGCGGAGGGAGGCGTGGAATACTACGAGAGCCTCTTACGAAGAAACAAATCCCTCAGAATCCTCACAAAATCCGGTCCCTCGAAGTTTACGGCCTTCGGAAATGAGGCCACCCTTTTAAGACAAAATGGACTTCAAATCACAACACGTAGGGACAATTTGCTCAAGTTGTTGGACACTTATAATAAGGTAGAGGGTGAAAAAGAGTCCGGGTCGAAATGGGCTGACGGTGCCTCTATTTCTAAAGATAAAATTTAACTTCTGGAGTTAATTTGTGTTTCAATTTCATCTCTTAACTGGATGGTGTTTCGAGTTTTGTTTTTTTGCCGAAGTATTAACGAAATTTCTGCTAGGAACCGCGTGAGCGTCGAATTGATGCTGTAACATTCTTAACTATCGATTGGCGTGTTGCTATTTTGTCATGAGTGGTGTTCGTTTTGGAATTATGCCGAATATAATTTCTAAACACAGAGCGTTTTTTTTCTTTTTATTCCATCGACATAATTCCACGTATCCAATCATAAGAAGGGTATGAACACAAAATAAATCGTAAATTAACCAATACGACAACCAATGAAATAACGAGAAGCAGCCCATTAACATTTAAGAGAACGTTGATTGATTGGAGTTACCTGGACCAGCCCCGCCTCTGGTCAAGCAATCCAGCCAATCATGTCGGTTCAAAAGTCGTGTTAACAAGCAGTAAGTATGTTTGAAGAAAAAATTGTAAACAAGAGAATGAACGTCGGTGTGAACATTTTTGATGAACATTTTTGATGAACATTTTAGTTGTTCTGTATAATAATATGGTTCATTATTTTTGTCTCTACAATGCGAAATCATTTGCTAACATTCAAATCGTATTGGTTTTTGAAAAACAGGACAAATAAGTGGATGAACTACCATCTTATATTGTAAAAATAAACGAAAGCCATTATAACATCATATCATCACCTCATCATTTGCATACGCCGTCATCATCGTCACCACCAATGTGATCATATAAACTAGCTTTTAAGTAATTTTTTTCAAATAAAAAAAATTTAATGAAAAATAAATAAAATGTAATAAAACGACTTATTTCGTGAGACAAGCTCGCTTCATGCACCGCCAGATCAATTATACATATTCAAAATATTTCAGAAGAGAAATCAAATAATGTACAAGAATCTTACAAACCGCTAGATATTAACATAATTTATTCTTCATACACTAAGCTGATTTAATTAAAATAAATAGGACATATGTATAAATATGTATGTTCTTATGTATAATTAATCTTATCAAGGCTTGTCGCACCGACCTAGCGCCACCATCAGCCACTTATTTAGGCCCTTAAAACTCTGTGAGTTTCGCGGGTGACCGACATGGATCTTGCCCTGTTCCCTGCTCCGGCTGGCAGGGCGTGGGAGGTGTGCATGGTCGAATGGTGGACACTGGCACCGCGGTTGATGTGGACGGTGATGTTGCGTTCGGCTGTTTCAGCTCTGCGCTCGCATTCCTCCAGCTGCTGTTGAGCCTTGCGGTACTTCGACAGAGTTATGTTGATGACCTCGTCCTACAATGTTTTTCAATAAGAAATTCGCTTTATTGATGTCTATGAATACCAAAGTGAACTATTTTTTTTTATTTGCGAATGAGTTAATTCAAATTATTTCGAACCAACCGAGATTTATAAATCTCTGAATAAAAGAGAAATGAGGACAGAACTAACGGCTTCCAACAGCTGCCTCTTGTACAATGCAATCTTGCTCTGAAGGGCTGCGATCTGTTCTGTCAGCTCTCCAACGAGTCTAAAAACCGAAAATTTTTTAAATGACATCACAATTTAAAACTCGCAAAGGTTTAAATCAGAAATATAAGTTTAATAGCGCACACAAGCGTACGAACCTGTGGTCTTCATCGGCTTGTGTCCTCAGCTCAGCCAACATCCTGGCCAGTTTCTTGTTCTCGGCAATGACGTCACGACTCCTACGCTGTTCAGCTTCCAGTTCAGCTTCCAACTCGCGCACCTGGTTGGTTTTTTTTATTTAAAATAGAGTTATGTTTTTTTTTGTTATTATTTAAGGAAATCCATTAGGTAATAAAATGAAACGCACACGTCCTTGGAGCTTGGCAACCAATCTCTTTCCTTCTCTTTGAGCATATTGTTCTGCCTCCTCCAGTCTCAGGCTGATCTCACGGATCTCCGTCTCCAAACCTATCAAGTATTGTTCAGTTATTTATTATTTTACCTGGAATACATGAAATTCATGCAGCTATAATTTGTTTTCGTTCGAACCTTTTCTGAGCGAATCAGCTTGAGCGTAGTTTTCTTGGGCTCTGGCGAGTTCGCCGGCCAGTCTGTTCACTTCTAACTGAAGTCTGTCGGCGCGATCGTCGCTGGCTCTTCTGGCAGAAGCAGATTCTTCGAGTTGGGCCATGAGGGAGGCCAACTCGCCTTCCAAACGACGTTTGTCAGCAATAGCAGTTGAGATGCTGATGTTCAGCTCGTTCAAGCGGCTCGAGTTCTCACCCATAGCAGCTTCAGCGTTCTTGCGAGCTCTCTCAGCCTTTTAAGTTTTTGTTAAAAAACAAATTTTTTAAAAATGCAAAATTGAAATTTTTTTAAGAAATCTTCAATTTACAGCTTCGAGAAGAGCTCTCAAATCTTCCAGTTCAGTCTGAAGAGCAATGCGCTTTCTCTCTGAGATGCTCAGGGCATCCTTCGCCTCTGCAGCTGCAGCGCGTTCAGCTTCCAACGCCATTTCCAATTCCTGCATAGTCAATCAAAAAATTATTTTATATTTATTTCCATTTGTTATATCGAAAAAAAATTTAGTTAAAACCAACTCCAAAAAACTTGATAGCTCACCTTAATTCTAGCGGCCAATGATTTGTTAGCCTTCTGCAGTTCTGCGCTTGATCTGGATTCAATTAATAAACGAACATTAGTTTTTTTCGTAAATCTTCAACACGGTAATTTGCATACATTTTATTTATTAAACAGTGCAAAACTAGCAAAGGAACGAATGAAGGAATGAATAGAAGGTACCTTGAAAGAGTATCGATTTGAATCTCGAACTCTCTGATGTCGGTGTCATACTTCTTCTTGTGTCTGCCAATCTCGTTCTTGTACTTGTTCTCAATCTCGATGATGGTCTTCTGGAGTTCATCAATTCCGCGTTGACCTGATTTTCTGTTTAAAAGTAGGTCAAGTTGTGTGGCGGCGGTCAGTCCAACCCCGACAGATTGTGGACAGATTGTAATAACCACATTACATTACGAATTAGGGTAACTATATAGTATAATAGATAGATAGACTCGGATCATACAGAACATTAACCAAATTAACTTGACAACCGTAAACTACAAGAAGTTGTACAAAAATTATTGTAACAGATTAAAGTAGCTATGAGAACTAGTCAGTTATTGTGAATGGAGTTGGACCACCACCACCAACCTTGCATTCTCCAGTTCCTCATCCTTTTCTCTCAGTCTGTGTTCGAAATCTATCTTCAGTTGGTTAAGGGCGGCGTTGCTGGCATCGAGGCGAGCCTGGAAATTCCAAATTTGATTGGTTGGTTGGTTGGCTGGTTGATTGAGTGGTTGGTTGATTAAACAGCTAGTTGATTGATTAAACAGTTGGCTGATCTAGAGATTAATTAATTATTATTCTTTAATTTTGTTCAGATAATAGGCGAATAATGGCAGACGATGTGAACCTGTGCGTCCTTCAGAGCGTCATGAGTGTCAGCCAACTCAACAGCCAATCTGTCTCTTTCTGCTTCCAACTGAGCCCTGATGCTCAGTAGATCTTGCACCTGACGAGACAGATCCTTGATTTGACCCTGGGCGTCACGAAGGGCATCTGCGGTGGAAGGATTTGTGAGTAGGGTGAAATATTATTTATTAGTTGAGTACAATTGAAAAAAGAATTTTAAATTGTTGGTTTTCTTTTTTTTTGTTATTTTCATAAAAGTTGTACTTAACTCTTGTTATAATTCATTTTTCAACTAACGGTTGATTTTTGTTCAATTCAACGATTAAAAATTATGAAAACCAACGAAAGAAATAATTGAAAATGGATTTGTCGGCAAATTTGAAAAAAAAACAAAATAAGCCAAGTCGTACCAACCCGAAAGTTTTTTGTTCTCTCTCTGGGCAGCATCAAATTTATCTTGGAGATCTTGAACGGCCTGTTTGAGGCGAGCGTTCTCAGCCTGCAGTCTCTGCAACTCGCCGCTGTTGTTGGCCAGGGATGCGTTCAGGTCTTCCGCGCGCTTCTGGTATTCAATGGTCATCGATTCGCTCTGCTTCAAGCGTTTCGCCAAGTCACCGCCACTCATGTTAGCCTGGCAGAGGAGGAGGGTTTATTGGTTTGTTTGTTATTGCTTGTGTGTAATTTCATGGACGTTTTACATTTTTTTCGTGGTGCAGATTAGAAGTTCTTTCATTATTAATTATTTGAATTGTTATTGGATCATCAAATCGACTATACAATCGAGCGTTCAACCAACAACTCCTCAATCACTTGATTGCGATGACTTTCAACATCATCCTCATCATCAACGTTTCACAAACTACTTACAGCTTCCAATTCAGCAGCAATATCTCTGATCTCGATGGTCAGCTTCAACTTCTCCTTCTCCAGCTTGGCTGCTCTGCTCTTGGCTTGTTCCAGCAGATCTTCCAACTCAACGATGCGTGCACTGGCTTTGCGTCTGCAAGTTTGTATGCGGTGGATGTGTGGGTTGTTGGTTGAGTGTTGGCTTGTATGTTGCATCTGTTAAATGTTGAATGTTCAGATGTGTGATTTAATAAACGTGATTTTGATGTGCGTGTAATGAATGAGAATGATATAGAATTTTTGACGAAAGTAAAAAATGTAATCAACTTTGTTAGTTTGAATTATTTAAAATGTGCAGTCATCATCGAGTGTTCGCGTACAACCAGCGTCACCTCTAACCTAGCTTCTTCATATTCGCCGAGACGGATGTTGATGTCTTGGTCATACTTGGCCTTCAAGTGGGCAAGGTCAGCAAGGGCTTTCTGCAGTTGGGCCCTCAAACTGGCGGCTGCCTCGCTCTCCTCGTCGTATTTGGCGACGGCGTTCTCCAGTTCGATTTGCAGGTTGTTGTTCGAGATTGCCAGGGAGTTTCTTTCCTGAGAGAAAATGAAATATTTTAAAAAAAAATTTTTCATTCAGAAGTTTTTGAAACATGTAAAAAAAGTGATTAGTTTGCAAGTAAAAATGTTGTCGATAACATTTACAAGTTTAACAAAACCAGAATTTCTTTGTAGCTCCGATAAAAAGTTACTCAGTGAGTAAAAATAAATTATAATACATTATGAGAAAAACATTTTCAAAAACTGACAGCAGTGGCGTCATCGAGTTGTGCCTTCAATTCATCAACTTGTGCTTGCAGGAGGGCCTTGGCCTTGTTCAGCTGAGCATTGGCGCTGTCCAGGTCTTGAATTTGACGGTGAAGGTCAAAGTTCTCCTGGGTCAGTTTGGCTTTCCATCCGTTCAAGTCACCATTTTGACGGTTCAATTCGTCAAGTTGGGCCTTCATGCGTCTCAACTGATCTTCCAAACCTTCCACTTTTGATTCGGCGTGTGCCTGTTGGTTTGTTTGTGTTGTTGTTTGATAGTGGGAGGAGGAGGAGGTCCGGGTTTCAAGATGGTTTTGTTATCTGAAGTTTCATATTTTATAGATGGGAGTGACGTGGTGAAATGCTGATAGGTTGGATGAATTTAATGTGAGTGGTAATTGAATGAACAGTTGAAATGGTTGAATGCATCTTCAACGTACTCTGGCTTTGTTGGCAGCATCAAGAGCTTGGTTCGAACTTTCGATCTCAAAGATCAGTGTCTGCTTCTCTTTGTCGTATCTTTCGAATTGAAGTTTCGATAGCAGTTTTTATTTATTTAATAATAATGGTCAAACATTTTCTAGATTACACGCTCTATACATCTTATTTAAACTAACAAAAGCCAATTCCAACCACTAATAAAATCAAATTCAATAAAACTCTCATCCAATGAAATTAAACATTACAACAAAATCGACCAATAGGAAAAGCGACATACTTTCCCTTGTTCTTGTTCATGTGTTCCAATTGGTCGGCCAGTTCATTGAGGGCGTCCTGGTGTCTCTTGCGCAGACTGGCGAGTTCTGATTCGTGCTGGACGGCCAGCAAATCATAATCCTTCTTCAACTTTAGGAATTCGGCATCTCTCTTACGGTTGAATTCAGACTAAAAGAAAAAAAAACATTAGTTGTGAAAACTTCGATGAAATTTTGAGATCAATTAATTTAGTTTAAGAGAGGATAATATATTTTAAATGAAATAATGTGAAAAAATGAGAAAAACTTTCATAAAAATTGTATAAAACTAATTCGCATTTTTGTAAAATTACTTGCTTAATTTTATACATAACAAGAAAATTTTTAAAATTTAATAGTTGATTGGTTGATGAATTGATTGATTGATTGACTGGTTGATTGGTTGATTGACTGACTGACTGGTTGATTGATTGATTGATTGATTGATTGATTGATTGATTGAATGACGGCTACCTGAGCGCTGCTGCCACCTTCAGCTTCTTCCAGACGTTCAGTGATTGTGGTAAGCTCGAATGAGACGTCCGTCAGTTCTTGTTCGGCCTGTTGTTTTTCATTAAAATTGATTATTTCCAATTTCAAGGTTTTGGCATATAACCAATGATATGTTAATGAGGTTGTTATTAATATGCAAACTGATATGTTAATTAATTAATATGTTAATGACTAACTCTCAGTCTAGCTTGCCTCTCTTGTTCCAGGGCATCTTCTAGTTCACGAAGGCGAGCCTAGATTGATTTGAAAAGAAAATGAATTATTAATAAGTTGTTTATTTTGCAGCAGGTGAATGCATTTGCATTGGTCCTGCATTTTTTAAATAAGCTACTAAAATGTGCTGACCAGATTCCCTTGCAATAAAAACCTCGTTATTCGGCACTTATGCATTTTTAACCAAAGTATTGAAAGGCTCTGCTAAAGAGCGCCTTTGAAATCATTGACTGGTGGATAAGTAGAATGATTGATTGGTTGATTTATTGATTGATTGATTGAATGATTGATTGATTTAACGAATGAATAAGCAAATGAATGATTGATTGAAAGATTTAATATCTTTGGACTAACCTCAAGCCTGGTAGCAGTGTTAGGCGAGAGACCACGGTAGACCTGGTAGTTCCTAATGACTTCAATGTTGTCGCCATCGACCAGAGCGCCGCCAACGGACCTGTTCATTCATTCATTCGTTTATTCATTCATTCGTTCGTTCGTTCGTTCGTTCGTTCGTTCATTCATTCATTCATTCATTCATTCATTTTTTTACTACAAATAATAATTACAATAATAGTAATTACAACAAAACTACCACCACCACCACCTACTACTACTACTTCTACTATTACTACTACAACTACTACTACTACTACTAATAATAATAATTATAATAATAATAATAATAATAATAATAATAAACCTTTTGACAGTTCTCCTGATAATGCTGCTTGTTTCTCCGCTCGACATTTTGTTACGTAATCAAATTATTATTATTTATTATTATTCGCAGACTCCGCGATCTAGATTAGGATGCTTTGATTAGTCCTGTAGATTAATGTGTGTGTGTGTGTGTGTGTGTGTGTGTGTGCGTGCGTGTGTGGTGAAGATATTGAATTATTCTCCAAACGAAAGAAGATAAAATTCAAAGACACTCCTTTGATAAATCAATCAATAGAGAGTTCATATCAATTAAATAGTCATTATGATATTATCAATTAATTAGAAGATTCTCCGACATTTTTAAGTCATTTTATTTTAAAAAAATACTAAATAAGAAAGAGTAAAACGTCGAAACTAATTTAACAACAAACTAATTACCAAATACAAATAGAATCCTTCTTTAATTGACTTTTTGTTTGAAGAAAAAACTACAAAACGCCCAAAAAGTAAAAAAAGAATAATAGATAAAAGTAAAATAGTTTTTTGGGAAAACCCTTGGCAAAAACGTTTGAAAAACAGAACAAAGCCATAAAACCAAAACCTGTACACTATTCAAACCAAATTTTTCAAAAAAATACTAAAGCGAACTACTGAAATTACCACAAAACGCAAAAAAAATCATAAAAAAATAAATAAAACACCATTAGAAATATAAAAACAAAAAAAACAATAAAAATGAACATGAAATATCCGAAAAACCCAATTTTTCAGTGCCTCTTCATAGAAGAAGACTCAAGGGAGCACGGAAGAACAGGGAAGAACAAGAAAAAATACAAAATATTATTGGAAAGAAACATAAAATCAAGCAAAACCACATCGAAAATACCAAAATTCAAAACCCACCTTCTAATAAAAAGAACCAGGAAAACGAGCAAAACAGTCAACACACAGCCAACAAACCAACTGAACCGAACTGAAATAAGCCTCCCCAAGCAGTACGCTGACTATTTATAAAGCATCCATACAAGATGTTCCCTAGCTTGTAACTTGGAATTCATACAAACATACATACATACATACATACACATACATACATGCATACATGCATGCATGCATGCATACATACATACATTCATACATACATACATTCATACATACATACATGCATATATGTTTACAAATATACAAACATTATTTATACAATAGAAGACTGCTTAAAATTTTTCTGGTTAATAAGTACTCATATGTATGTACGTATGTATGTACGTATGTATGTATGTATGTATGTATGTATGTATGTATGTATGTAAGTATGTATGTATGTATGTATGTATGTATGTATGTATGTATGTATGTAAGTATGTATGTATGTATGTATGCTTGTGTGTGTGTGTATGAAAAGACCGTTGATGACCATTAGAACGATATGAAGCGATCGTACTTCAAAAAAAAACAATACAATACTGATAACAATACCAATACTACTACTTATAATAATATTAAATAATAATAATAATAATAATAATATAATATAATAATAATAAATAATAATTACAATAATAATAATAATAATTACAATAAAAATAACAATAATAATAAGTTAAACGCATTGTTTGCCTTTGCAGGTATCGAAGAAAAAACACCATGGAATGCATTCCTCAAACGTTTGATGATGGTGAGGATGATGATGATGATGATGATGATGATGATGAAAATGAAGAAGAAGATGAAGAAGAGGAAGAAGAAGAAGAAGAAGAAGAAGAAGATGACGATAATGAAGCAGAAGCAGAAGATGATGATGACGACGACGATGATGATGATGACGATGATTCTTGGCATGTTAATAGGACGTAATATTGATGTCTCATTGATTTATCGTTTGAAGTTTAATTATTATTATTTAGATTATAATAATAATAATAATATTATTATTATTATTATTATTATTATTATTTCTTGGTGATGATGATAACGCTGATGGCGGTTCCACCCAAAAGTATAGACGAGACATGTATGTGAGTGATGAGAAATGGCTGGAAGATTAACGGTTGAATTGCTGAATGAATGAATGAGTGAATGAATGAACGAATGAATGAGTGAATGAATGAACGAATGAATGAGTGAATGAATGAACGAATGAATAAATGGATGGATGAATGAATGAACGAAGAAACAGGCATGCAGGTTAAATCAGAAGAAATGATAAAATTTCATTTAGATCAAAAATTAAATTAACAAACTGATGGAAGTGTGGTTCGACGTAAAGATTTTTAAATGAATGAATAAAACAATCGTGGAAAGAAAGAGGAAAAAAGAAGAAAAAGCGAGAAAAAACCGGAAAGAGAGAGATATATATATAAATATATCGAGAGAGAGAGAGAAAGAGAGAGGGAGAGAGAGAGAGAGAGAGAGAGAGATTAGTTAATCAAATAATTAAATGGATGGTTACGTAAATGGATGGGTAAATTGACGAATAAATGAATGAAAGAAAGATTGAATGAATAAATCACCGAACGAACAAAAAAATGGATAAATAATTGATGGATGGATGAACAAATGAATGAATGAATGCTAAAGTTTCTGCTGCAGTTACTGCAGTTGCAAACGGAAGATGAATAGAGAAAGCTCTGGTATGTTGCTGTTTGTACGTTTTATGTTTGTTTGTTTGTGTGTACGTACTTTTGTTTGTTTGTATGTATGTATGTATGTATGTGTGTGTGTGTGTGTGTATGTATGAAAGTATGTATGTATGTATGTGTGTGTGTGTGTTTGTGTGTGTATGTAGTACGCATTCATGTATAGGTTTATAGATTTAGTTTAACTATTTGAACTTCAAGACTTTGTACGTTGAAAAAAACGTAAAGAGAGGGATATGGAGAGAGAGAGAGAGAGAGAGAAAGAGAAAGAAAAAGAAAGAAAGAGAAAGATATGAGAAAATGAATAAAAGTAGAAAATAGGGAAGTATAATAGGTAGAAAAATATGAAAAGAGAGAACAATCATAATAGAACCATCATTATTCAAACAGGTATACGAGCATGCAAATACACACGCACACACACACGTACACACACACAAAATTACATACGTACGCACGCACACACACAAACATATAAGATCAAAAATAGCTTGCACAAGCAACCAGCCAGCCAACCAGCCGACAACACAACATCTTTGCTTATTATACTTACACGTTGAACCATAAGAAATTTTATTGTTAAGTTAAAAAACAAAACAACTACTACTGTTACTTCCTTTACAAACATTTGTGGTAGTAGTAATAGTAGTAGCAGCAGCAGCAGTAGTAGTAGTAGCCGTAATAGTTACTTTTTATTACAGGATAAACACCTTTTCATTACGAGCTAAGTAATAGGAGTAATGAATTGTGTGGAATCGAAGTTATGCAAATAACATTTCACAAAATGACGATGATGACGACGACGACGATCATCATCATCACCACGTTATCATCATCATCATCATCATCATCATCATCATCACTTCGACGCTAACCGAACGCGCATTCTTAAACAAGTGATTACCTAATATATTGTTTGTTGTTACTAATTACGCTAGAAGAAAGAGAGAGAGAGAGAGAGAGAGAGAAAGAGAGAGAGAAAGAAGTATAGATAGATAAATGGAAAGTAAACACATAGACAGACAAACAGACAAAAAAATAGATAGATAGATAGATAGATAGATAGATAGATAGATAGATAGATAGATAGATAGATAGATAGATAGATTGAGATAGATATATTGAGATAGACCGAAAATACAATACAATGCAAGATGAAGAGAGAGATAGAGATATATATACAGAAGAAAAAGAAACAGAATGCCACACAACTACTCAATTTTGTTACTGGAGATTAATAAAAAAAACTAGCTCACAAAATATATTTCAAGTTTATTCTTTAGAAAAACAAACAAAAAACATGATAAGACTCCTAAATGAACAAAAACAAACTAGAAAAAATGTATATTTTCGCTAAATACTTCTAAAAAATTAAAAAATCCATGCAAAAAAGTTTAAAAATATCCCAAAAAAAACACATGCCAAACGATTGGTTTGAAAAATTCTGCCAAAAAACAATTCAATAATACTGATTCAAAACAGGAAAATGTTCTGATAATATATGAAAAAAATTAATAAAAATATATATATGTGTGTGTGTATAATGTAATATAATAAAGTTAATATAGTAAATTATTTCTCCATGTCCTCTTCAATCTCCATGTTTGTCTTCTTTGTCTTTTCTGCTTTTAAATGAAAACATTTATAGGGGTTAGTTTTTGAATGAATGAATAAATGAATGAATGAGCGAATGAATGGATGAATGAAGGGATGAATGAATGAACGAATGAAAAATGGGTGAATAAAACAGTTTAATGAGAAGAAAAGAGAACGTAAAAATAGGTGAATGAATAAATGAAGAAAGAAATGAATCAAACGTTCATTCATTCATCCGTTATTTATTTATTCATTCATTCGTTCTATCAATCCATAAATCCATCCATTCATCCATCCATCCAACCATCAATCACACACACTTGTAGGCGGGACATGATTCGCAGCAGCTTGCCAGCATGTAATCCTCATCATGAATATGGCAACCTTTTATAAATTCAATCCTCTCCATACACCATTTCTCTTTGTCCCCATATCTGCAGGCTGAGTAAGAGAAAATGATGATGATGGAGATGATGATGATAGCGAAGACAGTGATGACGATGATGGTGAAAGTGAAGATGGTGATGACAATAATGGTGATAAAGAGAAAGATAATTATAGAGGTGACAATGATGAAGACAATAACAAAGATGATGATTAGAGCAATGATAACATCGATATTGATAATCAAGAAAATCTAAAAATAGATAATGACGTTGTACGAGGTTATTGTCACCGAAAAATCATAAAAAGATAAAAAATTATATAAAAAACCAATCTTACCATGCCCTAGATCGGGCCTGAGAAATTTTTTACAACTAAGGCAGCAGTAGGTTTCGAGATCATCAAAGTAGCAGTCCCGAGCTTTGAACAAAGAACTGCAAGAACGATGTACATCCTCACAAGCAAGTTTCTTCGTTGTCGTCGAGTTAATGTCAGTACTTTGAGTATTTGTACTGTTAGTAGTATTAAGGTTTGTACTACTATAAGTATTAGTGGTATTGCTAGTATTATTATTATTATCAAGATTATTATTACTATTGTTGCTGTTGGGGCCATTAATTTGGGGTAGATTTTTAAAAATTAATGAGGATGATGATGAAGCTGATGTTGTTAACATTAACATAACGTTGAAAGATGTTGTTTTTGTTGGTTGTGACGGAGATGTAGTTGTTATGGTTGTTGTTGCCGGAGAAGTTGTTGTTGTTTTTCGCCTTCTGACTTTTTTTACAACTCTTGTACCATTTCTGCCTAATTTCCGTGGTTCATCCACGTTTTGCTGAGCTATTAAGAGGAGTTTTTTCATTTTTATTTAATATGTCAATTTACTTATTTCTTTAATAACCAATCAATTGTTTAATTATTTTAATTTTCAATTAATATTATTTTATTTTCATCCCAATGAGAATGAATGAAGAATATGAATAAAAAAGTCTAACCTTCACAAATGACCACTATAGAACCGAACATAACCGAAAATAGTATAAAAATTTTAAAATTCATATTTCCAAATTTGACTAGAGAAATTAGTGACAAAAAAAGTAAAAAGGTTGTACTTTAAAATCTTGACACGAATTATTTATTTTTAATATCGCTAGCAAAGATAAAATGCATTTTCAATTTTTTAATCCATCCAAAGATAAAACAACACAATACACTCATTGCATAAGATAAATCAACCAAATGTCACATTTAAACGAACTTTTTTTGAATAAAATTGATTTTTTTAATTATTCAATATAAAAATAACAAATTTAAAGGAAAAAACAGTAAAATATTGCTGAATAAGAAAAATCTTGACGTAGCAGGATTAGCAAGGCCTATTGAATCACCTAATTGAATAAAAAATTATAAAATTTATATTTAAATACAACATATTACATTATTTTAACTAAAATTACATTAATTAATATAGAAAACTGTCATTGTCACGTAAAATTAATGTTATATTTATAATAAAAACAGAGAAAGTTAAGTTATACTACCTTTAGCATTTCTGCCATGGTAAATGTGCACCTGCTTTATCAGAACAGTTTCTCCAGTTGGGGCTATTAATTTTGGAATTTTATATTCTGTAAAATATGTAATAATAATAATTAATACATATATTATTATAGACATGAATGCAAGAGTGAATGCAAGATAGAATGAATGAGTGAATGTAGGATTGAAAAACTAGTAAATGAAGATATTAATTATTATAATAAAACATTTAATCGACCCAACAATTCCATCTCTAAATCGTCCCTTCCATGATTGTTGATGGCGACGCACGTGTAAATCCCGAAATCACTAATCCGTAAATTTTCGATCCGAAGACTCAATATAATCTTCTCCCTGCTAGCGGTGACATCATCCATGACGTCATCCTCGACATTTGTGACGTCAACTTCGGTATTTTCGTAAATATCGACGAAGTACCGCGAAGATTCGTGATTTGAATCGCGATTATCATTACTATTCGAATTGTAGTTTGTAGTTAAGTAGTTGTTGATGTTGTTGATATTGTCGTTGCTGATGTTGTTGATGACGTTTTGACGAGTAAAGCTTCGAAAATCGCTTCTTAAACTCTTAAAATCGTTGTTGAAACCGTCATAATCATCGAAACGCTTGTTGTTGATGTCATTATTATTGTTGTCGCTGTTGAGGATGACGTCATCGTATTGGTCGGATACTTGATTACCGAGGTAGCTAAACACGTCGCCGTTGAACTTCCTCCAGAAGATGGCACCTCTAGGATTCGAATCGACCGAACATTCGATAATCGTGTCCATCCCCACTGCCTGTTTCAAACGCTTCGTTCGTATATTAATTTTTGGAGGGTCTGAAATAATGAATAACATGATGATGATGATGTTGTTGTTGTTGATGATGATGATGATATCAACAACAACAACAATGATATCAACAACAACATACATTCAACAGCGACGACAACAAACAACACACATTCAACATTCAACAAAAACGACATACATTCAACAACAACAACAACATCGGACAACAACATACATTCAACAATCAACAAGACATCCTTTGTGGCGGCCATCTTAATACTGTTGTCGGCTTTACACTCGTACACTCCACCGCACATCCTGCTGACGTTCCTCAAAATTAGGGATGTACCTATGACATCGGATATCGGTATTTTGTTATTTCAATTATCGATTTGATATCGATTACAATCAAGTATTAGCAACGACAAACAGCCAAAATAGCACTTAATTAAATTGAAATTGTTGTAACATTGAAACCCTATACCATTTATAAAAGACGCGTCACAAAATTTATGCGGCACAACTCTAGTCCAGGTCACGTGGGGACGAGGATATCCGGTGACGTCACATTCCAAGATGGCCGTCGCGAATTCCGAAACTTTTACTAACGGTTTTGTTGTATCGAGTATTTTCGCCGGCACTGAAAAGTGTTAGTCGTGTATTTTACTCAACGCGAACCTCATCATTTCAAAGCCACAAACAATCAGCCAACCTTTAACAACGAGATTAACAACTTTTGTCAGGGGCGGATTAATACCGATGATACATCGGTAGGCTCCAGAGTCGGTACTCAGCACATCCCTAATTTGAAGGTCCCAATTTCTGGGGGTCGGGTGAATTAGGGAAAACCGCACGTCGTCCAAGACGCGGTACTTTTCGTACGTCACTATGACGTTATCGTAGGTCCATGAAACCTTCGCGATGATGATGATGATTGTGATGATGATGATGATGATTGTGATGATGTGATGATTGTAATGATTGTGATGATGAAAATCGTGATGATGATGGTTGTGATGATGATGATTGTGATGATGTGATGAAGATTGTGATGGTGATGATCGTTGTGATGATGATGATGATGGTTGTGATGATTGTGATGATGATGATCGTTGTGATGATGATGATTGTGATTATGATGATCTTTGTGATGATGATGATTGTGATGATGATGATTGTGATGATGATTGTGATGATGATGATGATTGTGATGATGATTGTGATGATGATGATGATTGTGATTATGATGATCTTTGTGATGATGATGATTGTGATGATGATGATTGTGATGATGATTGTGATGATGATGATGATTGTGATGATGATTGTGATGATGATGATGATTGTGATGATGATTGTGATAATGATGGCGGCTAAAATTAGATTGTCATAATTATAAACACAGTATTAGCGAACTGTCATGGTTGGATCAAATATGACGTCACCAGCCTTCCTTGTGATTGATTGGATGATAAGTTTGGCAAAGCAAAAGATTATTGGTCGAAGTTGGTATTAAAGGAACATGGTTTATATATATTTTGTCATATTGTGTCCTTTATTCAAGTTTTGAAATCATTTTAATCTTAGAAGCACAAAATAAACAGACACACACAGACACACACATACATACACACACATACAGACATACATACACCTTGTAGTGACCAAGGTTATTGACGTAGCATGGCAAAAGTGCCATTTGGCCTTCAACGACAGTTACATTCGCCAGAGTTATGTCAAAGTTGGGCCCCCTCGCTAAAGCTTCTAAAGATGGATAGATGGTAGGATAAATAAAAAAAGAATTGATAAATGGATGGATGAATTATAAAAGAATGAACGAATGAATGAATGAGTGAATTCTAAAGTTTGGTTCTATAGTAAAGTTTTTTATCATTGGGTGAACGAATAATGGATAAATAGGTGAATTAGTAAAAGAATGAATGAATGGATAAATGGATAAATGAATGAATGAACAAACAAACAAATAAATGAATGAATGGATGAATGAACAAGTGTTGGAATGAATGGATGAATATGAATTAAACCGATGAATGAATACATGAATGAATCGCTGAATGTATAAATAGATGGATAGCTTGTTTAATTAATGATGATGACGATGAAATAAATGATGATGATGATGATGATGAAGTTGTGATAATGATGATTATGATAAAGTTGTGATAATGATGAAGTTGTGATAATGATAATGATAAACTTCAGTAACCTGTTACTTCGTAATAGTCTGGATCATTGATGACCATCATCTGCTGCTCTGAAAACAAAAACCGCGAAATTATTTTCAATATTTAGTTGCAGGTGATTGTGCGAATGAATGAACGAATAGATGAATGAATGGATATGTGAATGGATGAATGAATGAATATATGAATGAATGAATGAATTAATTAATTAATGCATACGAGAGTGAATGAATGAATTTATGATTCACCTACAACTCAGTAAAGGAATTGATAAAAGAACAAATATATAGAAAACTAAAAACAAATGTAGAAAAAATGAATGAATTTATGAATGAATAAACGAATGAACGAACGAATGCACAAACGAATAAAGGAATGAATGATCAAAAGAACAAATAGGCGAACAGTGATAAAAACGAAAGTAATTGATTGCAGAATAAAAATAACATTAATAATAATTAAAAGGAAAAAATGGAATGAATGAAAAATGGATTAATAAATGAAACATAGAATGAATGAACGAACGAACGAACGAACAAACGAATGAAAGAACGAATGTAACTAAAAATGAAAGTGTGAACAAACGAATTAATAAAGGGATGAACGAACGAGTAAAAGAAAACAAAAACCAATGAATAGATAAATAAATGAATGAATTGATGAATAAATGAAAGAACGAACGAACGAACGAACGAATGAATGAACAAATGAAGGAAGGAAGGAAAGAATCAATGAATGAATGAATGAATGAGAGGACAGTTCATTCATAACGCACATTTGTTGATGGCCGCAGAGTGCTCTATAATTTGTTTAGCGCAACTTTAACACAGACATTGTCATCATAATCCTCATCGTCGTCATCATCCTCATCATCATCACCTTCTTCACCTTCATCACCATCATCACCATCATCCTCACCATCATCATCTTAATTACTGAACCATTTCGAAGTTGTCATTTATAACTGAAAAATTTTGTTTGCTAAACTTTATTACTGCATACATTTAAAATTTAATATAACAACATCACCACTACCACCACTACTACTGCTACTACTACTACTACTTCTATTGCCGCCACTACTACTACTACCGCTACTACTACTATTACTACTACTTTAAAGTCCATTGGCATTTTGGGGTCATTAATATATGAATTATACATGCGACTTAATAAAAACATATGAAATAAACAATTCAACTATTACCACGGCTGCTACTGCTGTTACTACTACTACTACTACTACTGCTACTACTACTACAACTATTACTACTTTGTTTGCGACTACTACTACTACCACTAGTGCTGGATAACAATAATAATAATAACAACAATAATAACAACAATAATAATGATAATAATAAAAATAATAACAATAATAATAATAATAATAATGATAATAATAATAAAAATAATAATAACAATAATAATAATTATAATAATAATAAAAATAATAATAACAACAATAATAATAATAATAGCGATATCGATATGAGTGAAACCGGCAGATGATAAATTTATAGCTATCATTAATTTTGTCATCAAAGCGTATACCGTTGTGGTCGTCATCATGGTCATCATCGTCATTATTGTTATTATTTTTATTGTTATTGTTGTTGTTGTTGTTGTTGTTGTTGTTGTTGATTATGTTGTTATTGTTGTTGTTGTTGTGTTGTTGTTACCGTAATTGTCGCAATCCTAGCCACAATTAACGTCGTCGTCAGTCTTGTTATAATTGTCTTTATCATCATCGTCGTCATCCTCATCGTCATTGTCATCATCGTCATTGTTGTTATCATCATCATCATCGCCATCACGTTGAAAAACTTCGGAAAGGGACGAGAAACTTGGACCCCTTTATTTATACACCAGCCCAAATGAAATCAACCAATTTGTTTTTCAAACAAAACCAATCAACCAACCAACAGACAGACCAGACAATCAACTAATCAACAAATCAACCAATCAATCAACCAACCAATCAATTAACCATCCAACCAATCAACCATCCAACCAATCAATCAATCAACCAATCAATCAATTAACTAACCAACAAATCGATTGATCAATCAACCAGCAAATAAAAAAAAACAATCAACTAACTATTGATTCGGCAGACGAACCGGTGAACATTTAACAACATCATAACGAGAACAACAAGAGACACAAAATATGGAGACATCTTTTAGCGAATTAATTAAAAAAAATTAACCAATTGAATTTATCATTAACCTATTTAACCAATTAATCCATTAATTATTTATAACTATAATTTTAATTAAAAATTATTATTAATATAAGCAATTTTGTTTCTCATATATTTGTCTGCAGTCTTATATAAAAAACGACAATTCTTATTCTTTTATATACGTCTCTCTGTCTCTCTCTCTCTCTCTCTCCTCTCTCTCCTTATATATATATATATATACATATATATATTTATTTATTTATTTATTTATTATTATTAATGAAACATTTATAAGCGCTAATTAAAATCAAAAAGTTCTCAAAAGCGCTATCTATAATCAAACAAAGTCAACATATATATATATATATATATATATATATATATATGTATATATACATATATATGTTGATAATAGACCATAATTTTTACAATATTCTATAAATTCTACCGAATGTTTGGCGTAAATATGTTTGTAGTTCGTTTTGGAATGTTATTAATAAAGTCCTTTGCAATCAGGTCACTGGTCAGTCATTGAGTGAAATTGTTGGTTTAGATTCGTCTCAATTCTTAAAGTTTTTTAATGATAAAGTAAATAAAATTAAACAGTCTACCAATGTGAGTAATTGATCGACTATTTGTCAAGCTCAGTACAATGGGAATTGCTTTTTCCTGACTTTATGCTTTTAACAGAATCTGACGTTAAAAAATTGTACTCAGTTTGCCATCAAAAACATGTATGATAGATATCTTTTCGACCCATATTTTAAAGAAATATATTGATTTATTCATCATTTTTCTTACCAGCATCTTAAATCTGAGTCTGAGCAGTGGCACATTTCTTAATGGTTGTAAGCATGCTATGGTTTATCCAGTTTTAAAAAAAGTGAATATGGATCGAAATGATTTGTCTAGTTATAGACCAATTTCCAACATTTGTTTCATTTCCAAGATTTTTGAACGAGTGGTTGCCAAACAGCTCTTGAATCATTTGAATGTAAACAACCTGCTACCAGTTTACCAGTCTGGATATCGCCGCTATCATTCAACAGAAACTGCACTGCTTTATGTGTTTTCTGAGTTGTTTGCTGCTTTAGACAAACAACAGGTGGCTCTAGTCACGTTTTTAGATATGAGTGCGGCATTCGATTGTGTAGACCATCAGATTCTCTTGGAAAAATTGGTTCAGGATTACGATATTTTCGGTACTGTTATCAAGTGGTTCAGATCATATCTGTTTGACAGAAAGCAACAAGTAGTTTTCAATAATGTGTTATCTAATGAAACGGTTTTGACATCAGGAGTGCCACAAGGTTCAGTGCTTGGGCCTATTCTTTTTATCATGTATACTGCTGAAGTTTTTAAAGTAATTGATCATTTCGGTTTTAAATATCATGCCTATGCTAATGATATTCAGATTATAGTTAGTAATAAGCCAGAATTACTGCAATCCGAAATCAACAAACTTGTAACTTGCCTAAATAACATTGCAAATTGGATGTCAAACAATGGTCTTAGATTAAATCAGCAGAAGTCAAAATTTGTTCCAATAGGTACCAGCTGATGAAACTTAATATCGATTCAGTGAAAATAGGAGATGTTAAAATAGAATTTAGTGACAAAGCAACTAATCTGGGTTTCATTCTTGATTCTAGATTATCGGTGCATGATCATATAAAGATGATAACAAATTCTTGCTCCGGACAGATTCGAGAACTCTATAAACTCCGTAAGTCATTAGATAAATCTGCTATTCATACCTTGGTGCATGCATTGGTTAATTCACGATTGGACTATTGCAATGGCCCGTTCTACGGTTTGCCAGATAGGTCCATTTCTGCAATTCAATCCATTCAGAATAGAGCAGCCAAATTGATTGTTGGAGGTCTCAAATTTAACCATGTTACTCCAATTCTTAAGGGCCTTCATTGGCTTACTATAAAGAAAAGAATTAAATATAAAATATGTATTTTAATGTATAAAACTGTACATGGCTTGTTACCAAGTTATTTGATAGATAAAATGAAAGAGAAGTCTATAATGAGGAGTGGTATGAACCTTAGATCAGATAATGGCATTTTGCTGGTTGTACCTGATGTCAATCTGCAGATAGCATCAAGAGATTTTGCAGTATTTGGACCAATGGTTTGGAACAGCTTACCAAGATCTTTTAGAATTAAAGATTTGAAACTTGATGATTTTAAAAAGAAACTTAAAACTTACTTATTTTTGCTTTGATTTTGTTGTTAAGTGAATAATTATTTGTTTGTTACTACCGCCATTGACTGTACTTTTTTCTTTTTTGACTTTGTTTGACTATAGATAGAACTTTTGAGAACTTTTTGATTTTAATTAGCGCTTATAAATGTTTCATTAAAAAAAAATAATAACATGCTATTTATATAACTGTATATATGAATACGTATGAAGCTTGCCTCATCATTATCATCACTACCGAAAACACTTTCAACATAAAATCATCATCATCTTCTCAGATATCATTACCATATATCATGGCTATCATCATCAATACCAAAATCGTCATCACTATCATCATCGTCGTCGTCGTCATCATCGTCATCATAAGTATCCCTATTATTATCCAAGCCATCATTGTTCTACTCACAAATACGGTCAGTACCATCATCATCATCATCATCATCATCATCATCATCATCATCGATAGTCATCGCAATAATCATCACCATAATCATCACAATCATCATCGTGA